AAAATCTCTTTATTTCACACTTATTATTCATACGTACATATTTAAATAAAACACTTGAAAGTCTTAAAACCTTTGAAAATTAACAGGAATCTATAGATAGAGAGTATTGTAGAAGATTGCCCTTTTCCAATGAATTTGTACATACAATTTGTAAAGACACCTTTCAAAACTACCAATTTATTTTTGTTCGTCGTAATGTTCGTCGTTATAAATTTATTTAAATTTACACGTCTGAGCCAAGTTTTTAACAGCACACTTATTACTCGTCATGTACTCGTTATTGTTATATCAGTATGAATTGATACTCGGGCGGAATCAAAATTAGTATTGTCTAGACTGGTTACTATTTCACAAATGTATAAAAAACAATTTTATTGACGATCTACATAACCGTCTTGTTACTTTACTCGTCAGATCACTGCTGTATAAATACTTACATATCTGTACTGTGTATGAGTATTTTAATGATATACTCTAAAAATGTGATAGTTTACTAGTATGTTAGTGGCCGTGACTTGACGTCGCTTTGCCGGGAGATATTAATAAACTTGGACCTTTTTCGCATGGCGGGCGAGCAGGCAAGCGGGCAGACGGCGTTATTGGATAGTTGGTATTGTCGCAGTGTGGCGGTGGTGGAATTTCATTTTGTTAGTACCGCGGCCCGAGTTGCGGATTCCTGCGGTCGCGGCCCGCGGGTTTTACCCCGTTGCCCATCGCGCATTGTTTCATTCAAACTACTGACCTGGCCCTAACCATTCGGTATCAAGTTCAACTTGCCACTACCGATTCACTTAGTATCCGTTACTAGTGAGAATGAAAATGAATCATAGAAAATAAAAGGTTCCACTATGCCTTACGTTGTACTTTTATAATTTTAGTATAAAAGCTGCGTACAATATAGAATGAAGTGAACGTAACAAGTATCTTATTCTTACTTTATCTAATTTACTTTTTATGAAATTTAAGAAATAATAGCTAAAATATACACATTATGAGTTATAAAGTAAAGCGTACATCGTCTCGGGAAATCCCATTTGTGTTAAAAGTCGTGTATAACTTAATCGAGCCCGTCCTTTACATTTTCAGCAACCCGAGGGACTTAACAGAAACGATGAAATATTTACAAAAAGAAATAACGTAAACACATAAAGAGTACGATTTAATATTAAGGATCAAGCGAACGTCTCGATCCTAACTTACTAAAGATTGTTGAATAAGGTATGAGATTACGATGAATACTGAATTCAAATTAATTTAGACCGTCATCTAAACCCCGGAAGCTGTTAAATAATATTGATGATAGCATCGCGCCATTGTGGCGCAAGCGTCGGCGACAGCGGCGGGACAGCTTTTCGTAATATTGTGTTATACTTATCGAATTTACATGTTTTTACAGAATAACATTCCTTTGGCGCGTTCGAGATCAAAGGCCGAGGCGAAAGTGATTTCGCACTGAGTTAGTTGAACAAGATTCAGTTTCGCCCCTCCCCGGCTTCTGAATAATTTTGATGTAATAAGGAAAATTGTAAATGGGCATTCGACTTTTGATATTTTATACAGCACCGAGCGAGTGCCTTGCTCTGTTTACACGTTATTATAATGATGTGAAGCGCTGCACGTGACTCGCTTTATCTTACTTTTGTAAGGGTTAATTGCTTCTTTTACATAAACTAACTCTATATTTCAGATTCTTACAGTAGTTGGTTTCAAAGATTCTAAGATAAACTTGTAAAGCGTTTGTAATGTATCTTAATAATTTACTTTGTTTCTTATTGCGAGTACGATTGTTTTATTAACCCTGTGTTTTTATTTTTACAGTTCTTCTTAATTATTTATACAGGCTATTGACTCTTAACTAAAATGCAAGGATGAAATTATTTGTTTTCATTAACTTATTGTAGAAACAACTTATTCAAATACACCATCGAAAGCCTAAATGTTCGACACCCGTGACGTCATTTACATGTTTCATTACTGTGAACGCAACCTATAAAATATTTATGGACTAAATAACATTAAGAAAACGTCGCTTGTTTCTCTCTCGTGTATGTTTGATGCTTACGTAATCTCGTGTTTGATGTCGCCTCCTGCCCGTTCGTCCGGCCGTCCGCCCGTCCGCGTATTGCAAGCCTCTTAGACCCCTGGGCACAAAAATAAGAACAACCCGCACTTTAAATTATTCCGCTGTCGATCTGTCCGTAAAATTGTTGCTTAAGAACTTAATCGACGCATCTCTTTGTCTTTGTAAGATGTTTTCAAAAACCATTTTATTGAATTCGGTGTTTACTGTTCCCTTTTTTCGTTTTGTTTTTTCTTCTGTTTTTAAATTGCTTCGTTTCTTGGCGTCTGTTTAAACAGCTTTGTAAATATAAGTTTTAAGTACATTTTCAACTTTATTTTAGTACATGCGTTCGCTAACTAGTTACTACGATTATTAGCGCGTTACGGCGTAGTACTGTGGTTGATAGTTCTACACCGTAGTATAGTAAACGTCATAATTTAGTTTCCAAGCAGAATCATCATACGTAGTCGTGGGAAATGGTTATAAACAAGTTTATTTGAACCTACGAAACTGACTAACAGGAATATCATTACTGAAAATCAATTAACTTCATACGAGCTGTATACCTATAGGTCACTTAAGTGATAATTAGAGTAACGCCCGTGTGTAATATGAGAGAGCGCGATCAACATGTTAACGCGAGCGCAACACTCACTAATTAGTCGCTTGAGATTAATCCTCTCCTGAGGGGATTACGCACTGTACTCTTATACTTTAAACAAATGCAAACTGTGGTGAAATACGAGCTGTTCGTTTGCTGAACATCAGTATTGATCCAGTTATCACTTTCAGTAATGTTCGCGCAAGTTAATATTGGTGCTAGTGACGAAACCCCCCAAACATGTGATATTATGTTTACATTGATGCAACGACTGGCGCCAGTGTCACGGGCATGCCAACCCTGGTGCTACTGACTGAAAGCGACCATGTCGTTTGTATTAGTTCTTCTTTCATTGTAGCTGTGTTCACATGATCATGTCGCTCGAATAATAATTCATTGCGTAAATGTCTACAATTTAAGTAACTATTTATATAACTATTATATATAACTATTTAACTGCCTCCGTGGCCGAACGGTTACCATGCCGGACTGCCACGCAGAGGTCCCAGGTTCGATTCCCGGGTCGGGCGAAACATTTGTATGATCTACATTTATTTCTCTCGTGAGTTTGGGTGTAATTTGTGGTTGTCTATGTGTGTGTCCATGGCACCCGCGACACAGGGTTTCCCTAGTGCGGGGCTATGTTGAGTGTGTGCGTTATTATTGTATTATATTATTATATTATTTAAATCTGTAACTGTCTCTGTGGCCGAACGGTTACCATGCCGGATTGCCACGTAGAGGTCTCAGGTTCGATTCCCGGGCCGGGAGAAATATTTGTATGGCGGTCTACATTTATTTATCTCGTGAGTTTGGGTGTAATTTATGGTTGTTTATATGAGTGTACATGGCACCCGCGACACAAGGTGTCCCTAGTGCGGGGCTGTTGAGTTTGTGCGTTATTATTATTATTATATAGACATACATGCATAAACCGGTTAAACATATTTTAGCTTTGCATTTTTTTTACCGGTCATTATTAAATTATAGTTATAGATTGTTTATATAGAAAAGAAACTTTACACTTTTACGCAAACGGTTGAAATGTACAATATTCAAATGAGCTATATTTTTCCGATACATTTAATATAAGAGCAATTTGTCGTTACCAATAATGTAAGAATGTTTTATGAGTATTTTACTCGTAGTAAAAAAATCGCAGACTTGTTAAGAAATAACAAAATGATATTTAGGACCAACAAAGGGCCTTGAGAGCGGCATCTTCTTACGAGCGCGGAAAGGCGAGATATATGTAAGTGAATATCGATTTCAAATAAAATTGCAACCTTTTCAGATAACGAGGTGACATTTCCCCTTTTCCGGAGCCCGTTTGTCGCCCGCTTCGCACATTGGGAATTTATACACCGAAATAAGCAGATAACGAAGCTAATGGTAGAAGGGAATGCCAGTCAACAATTGGCTGCGAAGGCTTCTCGCCCTCTAATTCTGCTCTTTTGCCACATCTGTTTGATGATCAATAACGATTTCCATCAGTAAAGAAACAAATTAGAAATAAAATCTATAAATATGAATAAACAGTTTGTCTGAACTACAATCCGTTATATAGCGATCCTTTAGAGCATTACGCCTCCTTTTAAGGTACAAAGATTTGGAAATGTTATTCGCCATATATTTTCATGCCTCGTTAAAAAAGTATTAGCTATGTACTTCGTACGCGCAATTGTCAAAAATAACTCTAACTCTTCGTTAAAATTAATTCACCAACATATCTATTGAGGAGTACATCCATGAGAGTTTTCTTGACGCTGACGACATCGGGGCGGAGCACTCAATAAGCTGCCAATAAAGTCCAACGGTACTTGTTGCTTCGAGACGGCCGGCAGCGATACGATGCTCCGTGGTAACAAGATAGCTCCGTCAGTTTATGGGATGAGATAGCACTACGAGCGGATATTTGTGTTAAGAACTACAGAGTGTAGTAGACGCTTCATGAGAAAACAATCTCTAGATACCTACGTTTGTGTGTCAGATAAGACATAATACAGGGGATTTTTGTAATGTTAATACGTACTTGACCACATTGTATGAAACAGCTGGTTTATGCCTTTATTTATGTACACCTGTTATGGATGGAAATTGATTTCCTTGTTTTTATTACTGTTGTTATAACAGGCTCACATTGTACTAGTCACGTTTTTTGCTACATTTTATTGACGAACAATGTGTGTAAATATATATATTAAAGAAGAATTACTGTGACTACCGAGTTAGACGCCTCCTTGAAAGCATGTTTTATGGTTTTCAATACGTGAAGTTACTATAATAGAAATACCTATAAACATGATTATTAAATGTCTGTCGTTTGTTTGTCTGCAGGTTCTTCTACCTGTACCACTTCTCTTTCTACGCTTATCACTACCGGTTCAACGGGCAGTACAGCAGTCTCGCTCTGGTCACGTCCTGGCTATTCATACAGGTTTGTATAACATACAAAAAACAATGCAATTACACGTCTAATGTATATTCAATAAAATTCTCCTGGAATTAGAGAAAAAAAATTACAGTCTGGATCGTTCCTTGTGAGTTGGCCTTCGATTAATTACAATGATTTAATTGTATACATTATTAATACAGTGCCGAAAACACGTGATTAATTATTATTCGATTCAACTAACATACTAATACAATTAGAGGCAAAACATTCGTAGCTAAAGTTTTATTTACAAAATTTAATTTAGCAAATTTTCATTGCTTGCAAAAAAATTTTGGCGGAATTATATATTTAGAATTTTGATTAAGACTTATTTCCTATTTAGATTATACAGAAATATGTATAGCAGTACATTAGTTATTTTTTATTTAGTGAAAATAATTTAAATTATGCCTGTATTTTGTTCCCAAAGCTGATAAATTTATCGACGAGAGCTGAATATGTTGATCCACAGTTAACTGCTTAGATACGCTATTTTCGAAATAACATGAGTATGAATAAATGTTTTTCCCTAGGTACTTACTACAGAATCCGAGAGAAATGTTGTTTTGCTACATTGTCTTTATGCTCCACAATCCCGCGGGTGGACTCGGATAGCTCACGAAAAATCTCATTTGCAGAAGTGTCACTCTTCCTGTGTCACGATATGACAGCAAAGCTACTGTGTATAATAGTACGTGTGGGTTATGGTAACTTGTTACAAGCGCACTAAACGTAGCGAGGTCGCGTTTGTCTGTTTGCCTCCTCTTTGATGTCGGTCACTCAAGCCCCAGGCATACTTATCCACGTCGGCACATAAATTGTTTGTTTAAAGCGATATTAGCTTTCACATGCCGCCGCGGTATTAATACAGCCAGCTAAAACTCAGAAGCACTAGTTAGGTGCGCTCTTCAAGTCGTGGTTTAATTGAAATAAAGTTACTACAAAGTTAAGAATTTTGAGCGATGTCAATGTAAATAGTGAACGCGAAAAACATGCTATGAAGACAAATCATAAGCTATTATAGTAGAATTAACTTTGCAACAAATACCTTAAGCAAGTAGGTAATTCCACGCCAAAATAGTTGAGAAAGTCCCTTAAATATGTTCTCAGGGAACGGAGAGCGAAATAAATAACGTCATGTTGTCATAAAATGCGTAGAGGACAACGCTACAGTAAGAGACAGGGTCACGCGGTCGCCGCGGGGAGTAGGACATGCGTTGAGATATCACGCACACACACCCGATATTTCAGAGGAAACTCATAGATATTATTTTTAAAATATAGGAGAAAGCTTCTTAGCTGTGTGGGGTTGCGATTCGCGAACAAGCATTTGTCAACAAATCACGTCCCCGTGCGTTATTGTGACCTAACACTTGACAGCCGTCGTCACAAAACTCAACTTTACTGGCGTAAGCGTAAAATATAGCAGGCCTTGGGGAGACACCGTCTGGCACAGTTCCGAGTGGGTTCGTCGGGAAAAATTGCGTGTAATTTGTGCCACAGAATTGATAGTATGATATTTTTAGGGATAGTTAAACTTATGGGGTACTATTTTGAGTTGTATTTTTTGAGCGTAGTTATAGTTGTTGGTACAAGAATGTACACTATTTATGTCAAGATATATTTTTTGCTGTTGTTGTGTTGTTAGTTTAATACAAAATAGTGAAATGTTATTTTACTCGGTCACCAAAATATCATTGCTAGATAACAATTAAATTACCTTTTTATTTTGTCAATATATAAGGTGCTAAAAACATTTTTACACATTGTTAATATATGACGAATTTTCGAGTATTTTTAGACACTATTTTAGTTATTATCAGAAAGCTCAGCGGTGGCAACGGTTAGTCGCGCATAGCGTCATGGGATGTGAGCGATCTGGAAAATAGGGAGGGTGCTGTGCGTGCACCCGGGGCGGCTCACCTAAGCCACTAGCTTTAAAGAGAAACGGATGAAGTCCGTGCAAACAGGCTGATCTGGAGTTAGGACCTGACCTAGATGGTCCCTGAGCGGGCATGCTCGCGCAGGTCATAGGGCCCTTCTCGCATACCCTAAGGGTCGGTATAGGGTCACTATAATCAAAAGTAATGTAGAAAAATATGGGGCTGTTCTTCTCCGGTCCCTCCTGCCGCTAGGGTTATTGGGAACTAACTGGAGAGACGACGTTTCGGCGTCAGGTAGTGAGCGTGCCTTACAGCTCCGCCACCAAAGAGGAGATTTAGTAATGGACTTTAGATTCAACGGCTTAGCGTTGGCAACCGTTAGGTACGCAATGCGCAACAGTTAGTGAGCGTGCCTACCCAGAAAAAAAGGATTTCTACTAATAAGAAAGAGCAATTTCTCATAATATTTGCTAATTCTGAAAAAATATTTATCAAAAGTAATAAAATATTGTCATTACAAAAATACTGCTTATCTTTTTCTAATACAATTTTACTCTTTCCTTTATTCTAACTTTTAGACAAATACGTTCACTTCAAGATTTTATTTCATTTCTAATCAATTAATTGGACATTACTTACATCAAGAAATTTTTACCTCGTACATCAAATTTAAATAATCTTAAATGAATTCAAATTTTCTTGAGTGTATTTTAAGAAAATATATTCTTAAACAAAAAAAGAAGTAGTTTGCTATTCAGATTAATATTCTAAATTTTGGAGTATATTTTTAAAGCAACATTTCGTTGTGTTTTCATAGTCAATATTGTCGTGACATGTCGCCAAAGGCGCACGCGGTAACGATTACTTTGACTTGTGTTTGTAATCATAAAAATCATAAACAGTTATTTTTCCAAAGAAACAATACGTAGTATCTCTAGTTTCTTAGGGCCGTATTCCAGAACTCTGCTCAATTCTCCAGTCAGGACTTGAGTATGATTTAAAGCACTAGAAATCATACTCAAGTCCTTCCCTTTAGGGTCGTATTTCCCGTGCTTGAAATCATACTCAAGCCCTGACTTGAGCATTGAGTAGAGTTCTGGAATACGACTGAGACTGAGTGTGTTATTTGTAGTCACAATTTAAGAAATTTGGTTTCAGCATGAAATTAAACTACACTTGTAACAAGCACAACTTTATCATGCAATTAGTTCCATCACGCCACTGCTACATGGCATTAGTTGTACTCTGAAACGCGCTATCGTTTTGTTAACTTCAATAGTATAAGTCATCTCATATATTTTGAATTGTTAGTGCTTTCTGCCGCTGTAGCATTTATACGGCATTGAATGGTACTCAAGTATTTGAGAAGATTCCGTCTTATTTCTGCTACTTTAAGGTAGCACTGAACTGTGTGCTGTCAGGCCAGTGAGACGTGCTGTTAGGTCCCATAACCCTGTAAATTTACCCTTTTTGATGTTAAAATCATTGATTTACAAATAAAAAGTCAATGGTTAAAATACATAAATCTTCAATCAAATAATGAAGTACCTCTCAATTTTTCATTCTTTTTTTTTAAATCAAAATCGGACATTTCTAATAACTAATAAATATTTTGTTGAATCTAGAGTGGCTTTGTGACTTGAAGTAAATTGATTTGCAATTGGATTAAATATTTCTGTCTTATAACTAAAATACACTTTTGAGACGTTTTTTTACTATTATCAAGTAATTATTCTCTAGCGTTTATAGGGAGAGGATCGTTTTGTTGAATTTAATAAATTTGTCTTCATAAAAAGAATTTTGTCTTTTTCTAAGTAATCTGTTTTTACCGTGGACAGCTCCGGTACCTGTCTGGAAAATAAGGAGGGTACTGTGCGTGCACCCGGGGCAGCTCACTCAAGGCACTAGCCTTTTGAGAAACGGACTGACCTGGGGTCACACACACACACAGGCTATATAGTGTCCTAACCGTATAACCAAGAATCAACCTCTTGGTAGGGAGGGTCACTATAAACAAAACTTATGTAGAAAAGATATGGGATTGTTCTCTTGGAAAAGATGAAGTCGTCGGAGCACAGCAGCTTTCACCAGCATTTTTAAGTTTGTATTTTCCAGTAATATTGGTTAAGGAAACTATCTAATATCTACTTTCATCTGCATAAGAAATTCTCATCGTAAACAAAAGCACATTATCAATTCTTAAAAAAAATAGCAACACATTGGCGAAGTCTTGGCCGGAGGAGCGCCGACGCCAATATCCGGTCGGAAGTTAATAACACGCTGTCCGCCCCTCACTCTGGCTGAAGGCACTTGGTCCGGCGGGGAACATATCTACTTAACATTTGGATTTGAAATCACAAACCATGCTAACAATGCTCTAATGACTATACAAAAATAATATACGGTGTTATGAAATCTCTATCTATTCGGCCATGATTAAGTTTGGTTGACGTTTATCCAGTTATACAATTCTCACCATATTCTCAAATCGCTTTGATTTTAATATCCTTGTCATTGATGTCTACTTTTTACTACAACTTAGTTACCTTTGTCCTAAAAATTAATGAGCCACGTTTTATGAATTGGTACTAGCCTCATTTAGTTTTACGAGGCAAAGAATCCAACAATATTACCATTTTTTGGATAAACTGCAATATGCTCACTTGATACAATATACATCGATATATAGCTGTACAAATTCGTTGGCTCGCGGAGCATTCCTGGAATGTGCAGCCCCGTCCCTTCCAGTTTGTACTATACTGGGATTCCACGCCGCCGCCGCCGCCGCTGCCACCCGCCCGTATCTTCCACGATGGATTTCCTTTTTGATTTTTTGCTTAGAAATATTAATTTGTCTATATATATATTACAATAATCCCTGATCAGGAAAGTCTTGGAAGCTGTTTTGTGCTAATTAAAAATTCTCGAAGAATTAATAATGTTCTAATAAATTCGCAGTTTGTATTAAGTTCCCACTCGAAACACCAAGTAAAATAAAAAATATTTCATTAATATATGTATATATATATGGATACGTAAAGAAGTAAAATTGTTTACGTAGATTTTTCCCTCGCAATAACTAATGCTCTGTAATATGTTTCCCAAAAATGTAATGACTACGTGATACTGTCAAAATGCAGAGCAGTACTTTTGGCAAGGAGAATCGAGTACGCTTAAAATGAAAGACGGGAGGTAGGCTCCCGGATTACGGAGGAGAAGAGGGGGCGTCGAAAAACAGGAAGCCCCTTCGGAATGCAAAGTGGGGGCTTATCTTATAATCATCGAGCGTGTCAACTTATTAATAAAAATCATATTTCATGAGGTCGCCCGCTCGGGCCGGCGACAAGGCGCGCATACTATTGGCGCCCGACACGGGCCCGCCGGCTACATTAATTCTAGCCGTCGGAACTTGTTGACAGGAGCCTTAAAATGTAGTCTCAGTCAAATTAATTAACATCAATCGTTATACCGATTATAGGACGAGATTTGAATAGATCTTTCGCTTTCGGTAGTTTCGCACTCGTTTGGAACTTTGTATTGGAACACGTTGTCGTTAAAATTGTTAAATAATAATTGGTACTTATTGAAACCGTTGAAGTTTCGATGATGACATTCTTAATTTTAATATTAGACCTCATGATCTTGTTTAATATCATCTAACTTTCACTGGCATCTTTGTAAAGGTGAAACTTGTACTATTATTAGAAGTTTAATAGATGGTTGTAGCTCTAATAAACGCCAAGTCCTAAACCAACAGCAACCCTGATGGCTGGTGCGCCGTGGCAAAGTGTAGTAATCTTCCAGATCTCTTGCAAATTATACCTAAACTTAAGTCAAACACTCTCAGCGGCTTTGTGGTTAGTTTCATGTTTAACTTCTCGTATTAGGTGTAATGTGTGATGTAATACGTGTTTATCCATTGCATTCTATAACAAATAATAAGGACTTGATTCAATAGTAATCTATTGAATCGATATTCTCTTGTTTTTTATATATTTATAGTGCTGTTATATATCTTGTATTATGTATATTTTTTACTTAAGACTGCGATTTTTTCAAAGTGCCAATAGATGAATTCTGAGTTTTCAATTAATATTTTTATTAATAAAAACTAATCCACAAACAAAAAGTTACAAGTTCAGAGGCCAAAATGTTGAGATTAACGCTTTCAGTTGTTTCATGTGCAAAGCGAATTTTCAAAGCTTATTCCTGAACATACTTACGCCCTTAATCGTCGCGCCTTTTCAAAGTCTGCCTCAGGATTAGTTAAATGAAAAAGGATTTTGTTTTAAAAAATGTCCGTTCTCGATGTACCTCAGCGCCCGGCGCTGTTTTTTCACTGCATTTTAAATAAAAATAACTTTATTTTCGTCAGAGTTTCCCACCGTCTTCGCATAATAGCCATAAAGCGTTTAAGACAATTTCGCGGGTAAAATATTTACCACCACAACGAAGACAAACCTTTTTCCTTTGAAGTGTTTCAAGGCTGTGGACGTTTCGCCTTGTGCAGTCTGCGGTTGCACTCAGCTCTCGTTGCTACTGTAAAGTGCATAACGTGCCTCTTGAGCGGTTTGAGGATTGTTGGAAAAATTCAGTTTAGTTGGAAGCTTAGGTTTAAAGTCGATCCTGAATTTAATTATAGAACTCTTAAAGTTTTTCACCTATTTGCAGAGTGTACAATATGTATTGAAACCAGAAGAATATTTTTGCGTGTAAATCCTTTTTTAACATAAAAACATTTGCCATTTAAATTTTTATTTTCGTTTTTATCGTTCTCCTTAATCGCCCCTGGATAAAATCCGTAGGTTTTATCTACAAAATTCTATACATTAACCCTCCCAACATAATTTGCTACAAACGATCTGCAAAATTGATAAAAACATTTTTTATTCGTGTACCTAACAGGATGAGTGGTAAATCTCAAAGCAGCCGAATTTAATGGATGTATAAAAGGGCATCATCTCTGTCCATTAAATACCTTTTAAACGTTTGATCCCTTTTTGTATTTGCCATGCGATGATCCACGCAGATTGGGGTATCGGGCTAATTTAGGCGCTCATTGCATCCGAACCGAACCCATTCGATTCCATTTTTCATGTTTACCGAATGTGTTGTCATTGAATTCGTGTGTGAAAGTCATTATTTCCTACTACAGCATTGACAGCAATATCAAAAGTTTATAATACCCATGATCTTAAATATAGTAATATTCAGTACAGAGCACTAAAAAACAGAACTCAAAAGTGCGTGGAATTACATCTATTTGCCAAGTTTTATTGGAATCGGTTACCAGTAAGTGCGCGAAACCGGATTCATCCCCTAGTTTGCTACCCTTAGAGGTGGATTATTTTCTCCAAATGTAAATGGTACCACTACTGAAATACCCTCTTTCCAACAAAAAAACAATCATCAAAATCGGTTCACAAATGCCGCGACAGAAGAAAGAGTTACCGCGTAACATACTCGTACGTACATACAAAACAAAAACATACTGTCGAATTGAGAATCTCCTCTTTAAAGTCTGTTAAAAATGAACGTTTATTATACGTATCGTTACTTAATTATCTCATGAAAATTTCGTCCAAAATCCAAAAGATGTTCACAAAGGATAATTTAAAAATTTATGACGTGACATACCAATTGATTATCTTATGTAAATCCGCGCCACGGGTTCGGTATCGCAACATAAGATAAACACAAAACGGATGATCAAAATTCTTTCAATTACCCGGCGCGGCACACGGCAGGAATAATAAATCATGAAGGTGTCGCAACTTGTCGTCGGCGGCAACCCGTTACAGCCCGACGCCGACACTCGAGAAAAAATCAAAACGAGGGGATCAGAAAATATAATTTCAAATAAAAGTTGAGTCGGAGCGGTCACAAGTTTCTTAATTAAAACTTACATCGGACGTCGCAAGGGGAGAGAACTTTGACCCAGATATAAATAAATAAAGATGGTGCGACGACGTAGTCACGAGTCGCTCATTTATTTGTCTAAAGGAGTTCTGCTCAGTTCGACAGACGTGTCTGTAATCTCGCCGCGACGCCTCGACCGCCACTTCCCGCCGCCGTGCCGCCGCTATTGGCAGCTTATCTCTTTACCGTATATTTATTGCCATACGTTTCTTTAAACCCCTAACAATGTAAGGTATTTCGGAGCAATTCCCATTTATCATGCACGTTGAATGTTAATAATTTGTTATTTGTTTCAGCACTCTATGCTGTACTTCTTCCATCATTATGAGCTTCCTGTGATACTACAACAAGCGCAACTGCAGCAGCTGCTGTTGAGGAGTCACCATGGCATGGGTGGCATGGTGGGGCTGGCAGGAATCGCAGCTATGGCCAGCGGTGCCGCGTACCACGATGCACCTGGTACTGGAACCCAGGCAACGCCACCTACAACTCAGTCCACCACTCAAACTGTGCAGAACACTGCGCAATCAACTACGCAAACCTCACCGTCGGTATCAACAGCACAGACTAATACCACACACACGGGCGACGTGGTCTCTGCGAGGCCGATGCCGCCCGAGACAATAGCCACGGGTACCAACACTAACAACGACATCGAAGAGCGGGCTATCACACCCGTTACTAACGAAATACTGAGTAAATCTAATAGCTTACTCTCCCCGAGCGGTGAGAACCATGTTAGAATAGAGGAGATAGTGAGGAAGAACTCCAACAGCGATATGAAAGTTGTGCATAGTAGTAATTCTACCGCGGAGCACAATGGACTCAATTTTACTCCTAGCGGGGCCAGTCAGGAGATGAATGCCAGAGAGGCAGCAACTCTGGATCGCAGACGGGACGCCGGCGATGGCAACGACGATGATGCATGGGTTCTCACTTCGCAAAATGGGGATCCTCCATTCAAACAGGCTCCCAGAGCGTCTCCCGAGGCTGATGACTTAGACTAGCATATTATATCCTATTTTTGCATTGAGTAATAAATGGTTCCACTTCTATTTCAGCTTTTGTGAATAACTACATAAAATTTAACACATAATTTAAAATACCTATCGTAGAATCGTATTTATAGATACATGAATAGCAATTGAAATATGTAAGAGAACATATTTGTCCTTAAATGTCTCAATGCGTCAATGTTTAATTTTGAACAAAATATGATGTTGATGGCAACTCGTGTTTTGTAGATAACTTGTATGGAACGGTGATTGTAGTTATAAGAATGTGCTGCCTTTACGGCAACCATGTAAATATTTAGATACCGATATAAATATTTATTAGGATCTTGTGTTAATATCGAATTTGTAATTTGTTACGTTGATATGCTTAGTGGATGGCGACGAAGGTTGGCATACTCTTTTCAGTGATTTAGTTCTTGCAATAAAATATGTTCGTTCACTATTTTGTCTTACTCATCTTTGTTTCACCCTGCAAAAGACAAGCAAGAACCCTTGAAAAAAGAATAAAACAATACATTTAGTATACAATTTTCGTTTAATGCCTTAAAACCTTAAATTTTATTTCTAATTTGATAACAAGTATTTACAATAGCATTAGATTTACCAATGAAACATACAAAATATGCTATAATTAGAGAAAAAAATTCTAGCTTTAACTATTGCACTTCGAGGCAGAAAATTCGAGGACCGTGCTCTGGATGCTGGTAATTTGCCCCAAAATTATTTATATAATAATACAATCTAATAAAATATTCTAAAGTAGATTATTTTCATATACATACACATGAAACGAAAAACAAGCTACTTTTGATAGGAGCTGTCAGTGGATTGTTCAAGGCTCCTTTAATACCAGAAGTCTCGAAGTTTGTAGTCATCGCCAGACCTGTAAAGAAAAAACATTTAAACTTCTGACAAAAAAATTATCAAAGTACACAAGTATTAGGTCGTTAACTGGAGTTTCCACTTATAAGGAATGATGGTACTAACTTAAAAAAAATGTGTGTAACCATTGACCTATCAATAAATGGACGTCGGGTACGCGCTAAAAAGTGTCCGACCCTTGTAGTTAGAATCGTTAACAGAGCATCAATCGCGCGTCAGTCTTCGTTTGATCGACCGATAGCACGCTTGTCAATCATGCCGTATAGTAAAAACTTGTAAAAATTACATATGAACTACACAATCAAATAGCTAACAGTCCTTTTCCTGCACATTGCATCGCAAAAGACAGAAAGAGACCCATTACGTCAATTTCAATTGTTCGAACCACAAGCGATTAAAACATTTAGAACAAAGAAACTATAGAGTCGCTTTTAAGTTAATCTTATTTTTAAAATAATTTTTAGTGTGTTAAGTGTTAGTACTTAATAACTAACAAAATATTGTTGTACTCGTTTTACGGCTTGGGTTTACCTATCAGTAGTCGACAATAACGTTTGCTCAATTTTTTTTAATTGTATGTTTGTATTGTATTTGTATTTACAATTGATTTATTTTTTGTTTTTTTTTTTGAATATTGCAACCGAAATTCCCTGAAAGCATAACGGTTTTGTTATAAATCGGTTTTCGAGATTATGAAACTTAGAGTTTATGTTTAGTTGGAAGTTGGAATATTTCGAAACGTCAATACATTATAGCACGTCATAACTAACAAACAGAGGCACAGTTATTTTCACATTTATAATATTTGTATGTACTTATATATCTACACAACTCTTTATTATTTCTATTTGTATAAAATTCAACATAATATTATATATAAATTAATTAATATTGACAATAAAGGCGACTCCATTACTCTTGTGTTCAAGCAGTTTTCATTAGAAGCTACATATGGTGACTTTTGTTAAGTTTCCAGCAAAAGCTGAATATGGTGAATTTTTCTTTTTAAATTTTTTATTGAATTGATATTCAATTATATTTTGTGAAATGACTCCACTAGTTTGTTATAATTATTAATACAAAGATCGAACACTCAGATTCGAACCGATGCCTTTTAGCATACCGTGCCAGACGCTAAACCAAGTAAGCCACTGAACGAACCAGCGGACCTCACGAATTTTTCTATGTACCTGTTGTCGTGTCTTTGTATTTGGTTTTTCAACGACTTTAGTCGTAGCGCTATCTATGAGAAATCTATTAAAGTTTTATCACCCAGTTAGATACCTTTACAGCTATATAAGTTGTCAGTTTGCAAATAATATAAAGTCAAATTTTAAAAATAATCGTTAAATTCGTACCAAATTACTAGTATGCTTTAAAAGAATTTGATTTTATGTTAACCTGATCTTGAGTTTTGTTAAAAATGTTTTGTTTTACATATACCGATATACATATGTAAAAGGTTCGTAACCGGTAACAAAATAAAAATTCTATCGTATCAAAATTGAAAAATATTTCCAAATTGAACACACTGTGGATGTAACCGAGTTCAATTTTGCACGCTCTGAAAACCCCATTACAAATACCTCTTCCTCTGCTCTAGTTGTGTGTCCCTTTCCCGAGGCCCGGCCGGCCTGAGACTAGCGAGTCATCTGTCATTCATACGGTAGAAGGGATATTTTACACGCAACCAAGTTATGCATAAACTACATAAAAACACTAAGTGTAAAAAAAAACTGCATACGGCAATCTCAATAAGGCACCTCTGCTTTGGATAGTGGCTGCGATTTAATACTAATTTTAATTTTAATATGCTCCCTTATATTGTTTAGGCAATTATAATGCCTATACATATTATGTAAGAAGGTATCCATGTAAAATATAACAGACGAAATAAATTAATAATTCATAGTACACCACTGAATAAATGCAAATAACACTTACTGCGTGCACTTTATTTAAGGGGTTTCTAGACGTACTTACGCAACATGACTGTAGCACACATGCGACACAACTCCATACGAACTTAAAGGCTTAAACATGTTCGAACGTTTGAAGTTCACAACTCGTGTGGATTTACAATTTAAATAAAACATAAATATTTCTCAAATTGTGTCAACACTCACTCAGTTATAAGATAAAATTGTACTTGCACGTGTGGGGCATTAACCAATATTTCATTTGCACAGTCAATTACTTATAATAAATTATGATATTTCCCATATGCAGAATACTAAATAAATGCTGTAATTACGCCAACTGTTGTTAAAAACAACACTTAATTACACTATTTCTTATGAGATTTTCGTAGATCTATACGTTTTTGGTCGATCACTAACGTGCAGTAAACGCAATTGTATCTTATTGTATATATAGCCACGTCTTCACGGGTTGAAATAGCATAGCAACACCGAGAGATATTAATAAACGGTCTAAAACCGTCCACTCTCAGTGACTCTACGCACATACATTATTGGTCTTCCATCTTCTGCTGATGTGCACTGATGACTTTTTCCTTGTCAGCTACGTGTATTCTCAAGCAATAACATCTCGTAATGTGTGTTAATTCCCCAAGAATACGCGTGACCTCCAAGTAAGAGTGTCTTCTGGTGTTCTTTCAGCTTCTTGTAAACTTCATGTTCAGAAGTAAATACAATGACGTCGATTTATGTAAACGTAAACTAAATTTCTCAGTCTAAATTTTCAGTGCATCTGTCTCTTTCGTTATCGTTAAGAAAAGGACAAGAACTGTGGTTGTAGTTAGGACTGTCAAATTAGTCCACACCCACTGTACTCCACCCTACTCCTATAAACTCTGTCGGCTTGTATCACGGGCACAGACCAGATAACCAATCATTAACCACCAATTGGTTATCTGGTTCGTGATAACAACTAAAATTTAATCTGTCATTTTCTTATTGATAACGAAAGGGACATATTGGTACCTTACTTTCTCAAACTCGTATCTTATAAAGAGTGATTATTCAGAAGATGGCAAAACTTTCTATTTATTTTAAATTTCTTATCAAGGGTGTTAATTTGGATGCATTACTTTAAGAATAGGTAAAAGTCAGTGTGTAAATAAGAAGTAAATGTGATGTGAAAGCAGCCTGCAAAATTTGTAATATCGACTGAACTGGCAATCGGTACTATCTCAATTTTGACAACTTTACACGATGAAGAAAAAAATTGTTTGCGTCATTTATATAGCATCTGGTTTATTAAAAATACGTAGTGTATATATAATAAAAATATTTAAAAACTACTTTTTTAATAAATCAGATGCTATACAAACGACGCAAACAATTTCTTCGTCCTGTAAAATTCTCAAAATTGAGATAGTACCGATTGCCAGTTCACAGTCGATATATAATAATTTTTTTTCCTTTCAGTTACTTTGTGCTGTAAGATACGAGTTTGAAAAAGTAAGGCGACGATATCATCTTCTTAGTGTGAATACCTCGTATGTCATTTCTATGTCACTTTTCAGAACGAAGATGAAAATGTGGTGTAAAATATAGGTAAACGCAATAATGTTTGTAGTTAGTTAATTTTAATTAGTTAAATTATACTCCTTTCCGATACTATATTACTTAAATGACATATTTGAGCAAGTCCTTTATAATTTTTTCTTCCATAAAAATCACTGAAAACGAAGTACCTACCTATGGTGTGCCAGGTAGGCGTGTGCAAGGATTTCACGCTAAGGCGACAATATGCGATATGCACTAAAGTTTAGTTTTTGTTTACACGACTCGATACACACATAATAATGCATTTAGATAGAAGAGATTTTCCAAAAAAATTCAGTCGTCGCTAAACAGACAATAGTTGCTAGGTAAATGCTGCAATAGTGGTTACTTACATATGCGTCATTATTTATACTACACTTTTATAGGTACATTAGTAGATATATGAACTACCTTATAAATGTAAGTTGCATCTTTTATTATTATTATGTCACTGGAAAGTGAAATAATTTCTAAAAAATACAAACATTGCGAAAAACGCTCTTGGCGGGGTTACAGTCGCCGAATATACTTCACTTGTCAAAACCGGAATCCCCATTCTCCCTTGTCATATCCGGAACTATAACCCCGTGAAATGGCCGCAAGACAAATCAATATTAGTTTCTACTTATCTGTTTCCGCTGTCATCCATGACCCGGATCGAATTCAGGAGGGCATCGGACTAATCGCCGGCTCTGATGCGACGGCACGGATACACGCAACCCATAATCCTGTGATGTACGCCCGCCACCCGGGTGAAACCTGGAGGCCGATTTTTGATTCGAACGGACTCTGAACGATCACGAACTGTCTGCTTTTCATTCTCATTGTAGGGTGAACGTACTAGAGGCAAACAAGTCTTTCGAATGACATTTGCAACGAACAATTCAAAAATAAGTCATTAGGTACCTTGCAAACCGTACAGGGCTGAAATGAAACGGACGGTTGATTGTCGAGATTAAAAAGCCTGTACTATTTTAACCCACGTCACGTCACACGTCGCGTTGCAGACAATACGTGTAAATAATAATTAGTCATTAGTGTTTTATTAAATTATTATG